CACCCTGAGCGCATTCAGCCTACATCCAGCCGCCATCCTGCGCCTACTCTCCTTCTTCCTCAGCACCTCCCCCCAGATTGAGATGCCATATGGCAGCACCGAGGTGCTCACCGATGCTAACAGCGCTCTCCTTCTCTGCCCCGGTCGGCCTATGTTTGGCATAAGCGGGGAAAGTGCCGCCCGGACACCAGAGGCCTTGGCGGTGGAGTACTCCACCTGCTGTTTGAACTTAAGTCGGGCATCGATCAGCACCCCAAGGTACCGTATATACGACCCTGAGGTGAGCGCGAAGTCACCGACTCGCAGCTTGATGGTCTCTAAGGTCCTCCGCCCCGAGGCTAGCACTGCTTCAGTTTTTTGGTCCGCGCGGTGCAACCCGACCGACTCCATCCAGTGGTGTACCGTGTCGTACGCTCTTTCGAAGACAATGCGGAATTCGTCGATGTGCTTGCCTACTATCACAAATTCAACAACATCCGCGAACGCCACCAGCCTAACCTCCTGAGGAAGGACCAGCCTCAGTAGGCCATCGTACATAGCGTTCCACAAGAGCGGTCCCAGCACGGAGCCCTGTGGTACACCTCCAGTGACCTCGTGTACCCTGGGGCCCTCCTGTGTATCGTACATCAGGACCTTGTCCGTAAAATAGGCCTCCACTATCCTGCGTAAATATTCAGGGACTCCGAATCTTTCAAGCGCGGCCATGATGCAATTCCACCTGGCCGAGTTGAACGCGTTTCGAATGTCAAGCGTAGCAATGAGGCAGTATTTCTTTGCCCCTGTGCTCCATCTAGCTCCTGCGATGGCATCCCTGGCCGTTGACACTATCAGGTCAATAGCTCCGAGCGTCGATCTCCATCGCCTAAATCCATGCTGGTTGGTAGCCAGCAGGGGGTCGATGATGGTCTCGATCCTCTTGTGGACAATCCGTTCCAGAATCTTGCCCGCTGTGTCCAACATACCGAGGGGACGATACGATGTTGGCTCGTCCTGTGGCTTCTTCCCATTAGGGAGCAACACCAGCCTCTGCTTCTTCTACGCTCTGGGAAATGTGCCGTCTATGAGGCATGTATTATAAAGTGTAACGTGGTATTTTTACCAGTTACTGGTTCTCGACCGTTTCGCGATTTTTGAGACTTCCACCAGACGGGAAGTCACCTTCAATGGCGAGAATTCTGCAAAGAGAGGAAAGTATTTAATTGATTTTATTTTTTTTTATTTTAAATCAAAATTACGCGCCACTGCATTTCAAGCCGAGGACATCGCCAAGGATCCCTGGACGCCGAAAGATGTCATCGGACTCCGAATTTCTGATGATAACTGGATTTTCGACGTGGCAGACAATGGAACCACAATCCAGATATCAATTACGACGGAAGTGACGCAGTTTGCTGAGCTCGAGGCTGAGCTGATTGGCAATTTATGAAAGATAGGATGAGAATTATCAGAGGAGAGTTACTATTCTTTCGAAGTAGTTTGTAACGCAAAAATTGTTCTAGATTTTATTAGGCAGCGCTGAGGATATATTATCATTCATGATAATTAAGGAAATTGATATGAAGCATCGCCAAAAATGTGTAGCACATGCGGGATTATTATCAGTGCAAAATTATTATCTGTATCGTGCATGGCCATTTGATTGGGATTGGTGGATGATGACGATGTCATCCCGCCCAATTATCTAATTCATCGCGCTACCTACTTGTTGCCGATTCACGTGTGTCTCAAAATTCACTTCCCGTTTGGTGATTGTTCAGACTGGACCTTTGTGATCTCAAATATTAGAGGACGCCCTTTTGCTAACACGGACGCCGAGGATGAAGACTTGAAAACAGTCTCCGGAGACTGGTGATATAGTCCCCCACGTCTTCATCTACTCCCTGAAATCTCTGCTGTATGTGCTGCCAAATGTTCTCTTCTTAATCGCTGAAGCAGTACATCCGTTGGAAAGCTCTCAAAAAATTATTATAACTCCTGATATTTGGCAATTCTGTCCAATACCAGGAGTGTGCATTGTTTTTAAAGGCTAAGGGGGGGCCTGAAGATTCTCCAGTGGGATAGGGGGGTACTGGTTGGGGGTGTGGGAACGGGGCTTAAAGTGAGATTGTTATGGGGGGGTGCTTAGAAAGTCACTCGATGTACAGGGGGTAGTTGGTCTAAGGGTTGCATCCTTGATGGATCCTCTGTCGATTGTTCAAAGCTAATTGGGTCCTGGTAAGTCCCGAGAGTTTGTCCTGAACGAAGGGCGTAATGAGAACGAGTCATCGGACTCGGGAACAACTTCAAACCCGACGGTGGTAGAGATACTGGGGTTAAAAGCATTTCCATGGAATCGACCTCATCGTTCCAGGGCCGGACAATCTCTGAATGTTTGTCGAACCTCGTAACGGAACGATCGGGTCGGGGGGGAAATGAACAGACAGAATGAAGAGAGCGGGATGTTTTGTTCAGATTTTCAATTTTCAAATTTATTTGACTATTGTGTTATTTGTTAATTTTTCAAATGCAACTGCAGTTTTTCCAAATTTTTAAAAATTTCTAAGTTTTATTCAATAGTTTTTTTTGTCCATTAAATTTAGTCATTTGATTTCACTACTGAAAAGTGATTCTAGTTCACGTAAACAAATCCTCTCTGGAATGCGTTGGGTTACTCCGCAACGGTAAGCCTCAGGAACAATAGAAAAAAATATATAAATAGACCGCGTGTGCCGTATATACAGGGTGTCCCAGAAGTACGTGCCGATAATTAACCGGCATGTACAGGGGGTGAGTCTGACCCAAAAAGTCCTTTACTACTTTTGGATCAGAAGCACCCCTCCGGAGATACTGGGGTAAACAGGACAGCCAATGACGCTCCCGCGTTAAGCGGCAGTACGTCGGTGTGGTTGTCGCGCTCGAGTGTGAGTGATTCCCCTTCGAGCCAGAAGGAGGCGGGATCACGTTCCACATTCACCCGTGAGGGTGAGAGAGAAGTCATGGTATTCTCTCTCACTCTCTCGCATCACTCCGCGGCAATGTTCTTGCAGTTATCTTTTAAACAATTGGGTTTTTGGGATTTTTCCATTGATTATTATTTGTCGCAAATTGAATTTGCAACAAAATAATCTCAAGGAAAAATCACCTAAGCCCAATTGTTTATTTTATATCAGCAACAAACACTTTCATCCTTTTTAAATGTTATAAAAAAAATGATGGGCCGTTCGGCATTTGTCCGTCAGATGTGTTTTGTTGCAAATTCGATTTGCAACAAAAAATAATCAATGGAAAAATCTTCGAAAGCCCATTGTTTATTAGATAATTGATCAAGAGGGTGTTTTTAACGAAAAATCGAAAAATCACCGCGATCGCTCCGTCGATTTTAGAGATAATTGTTTAATTATTAATTATCTCATCAACCGAGACTTTGACAAAATTTTATAAGGAGAACTTTTTTTTGTTAAATCTCATTAACAAAAAAAAAGATTCTCCCATAAATTTTGCTAAATCTCATGGTTGATGAGATAATTAATAATTAAACAATTATCTCTAAAATCGATGGAGCGATCGCGGTGATTTTTCGATTTTTCGTTAAAAACACCCCCTTGATCAATTATCTAATAAACAATGGGCTTTCGGAGATCTTTCTATTGATTATTTTTTGTTGCAAATCGAATTTGCAACAAAAAACATCTGATGGATAAATGCCGTACGGCCCATCGTTTTTTTTATAACATTTAAAAAGGATGAAACTGCTTGTTGCTGATATAAAATAAACAGTTGGGCTTAGGTGATTTTTCCATAAGATTATTTTGTTGCAAATTCAATTTGCAACAAATAATAATCAATGGAAAAATTCCAAAAACCCAATTGTTTAAAAGATAACTGCAAGAACATTGCCGTGGAGTGATGCGAGAGAGTGAGAGAGAATACCATGACTTCTCTCTCACGCTTACGGGTGAATGTGGAACGTGATCCTGCCTCCTTCTGGCTCGAAGGGGAATCACTGACACTCGAGCGCGACAGCCACACCGACGTACTGCCGCTTAACGCGGCAGCGTCATTAGCTGTCCTGTTTACCCCAGTATCTCCGGAGGGGTGCTTCCGATCCAAAAGTGGTAAAGGACTTTTTGGGTCAGACTCACCCCCTGTACATGCCGGTTAATTATCGGCACGTACTTCTGGGACACCCTGTAGAGTTCATTAACGACAAGACCTAATTTGTGTTCACTTTTAAACATATTCTATTTGTATCGAAGTAAACGGTTACACTTTAGTTGGAACTTAATAAACTAAAATATCTGAAATTGCTGAGATCGAGTCCATCGTTACTCGACCATTCTACCGTACATTACAAGGTTTTATAACCTAATTTACTCTAGCTTATCCTAATTATCCTAATAACAGTGTAATTATTAGGGGGCAGGGGGAGGAGCGCAAGTATTGTATCGTCACAGAATATCAACAATACTCAATTGAAAAAAGAGCCTATTATTAGCCTAATTAATTACGAGAAAGGAGGTGGAATATTCTCTATCAATGCACTTAACAAAATTTTTCACAAGAAACTTACAAATTAGGTCCTAGGTTCAACGACACCATTTTCAGTTGTTAAAAAGCTTCATTTGTGCCACATAATGCATGGCACGCAAAAAAGAAACAGTTTCACACAGTTTTCTCGTATTTCCAACTATTTAGGTGACAGATGCATTGCTAAGAGTAATCGACGATAACAATTTTACAATTTATTTTTCGAAATCACTCGTTCATAATCAGTATGGTTATAACGCCAAAGGTTTACCTAATCATTGTGATTCACTAAAATTATTGATTGCATTAAATTACACTGAATCTTTCTGACTGATTTGTTAGGATTAATGTCAGGAGTATTAAATATTCGATAATAAATATCAAATTAATCATGAAAAACTACGCCGAGTTTTCGGTTCAACTTAACCACGGTTAACGCGTGGTTAAGTTAAGTTGGTACCCCCCACCACCGCTCCGTTTCCTCTGTGCTGGAAATGGCGGTGCCTGTGTTTGCGTGTGTAATCGATTCATATTTGAATATTGCATATGTGGTTTTCATTAAATTTTTGTAATGAACATCGTTATCGGTGATTTAATTAGTGGTGGTGGACGTTATCGTCTTATTCGACGTAATACAGAACCAGTTAACCACTTTGAAACTCTCCCAGAAATACAATTCAGGGAACGATACCGTTTGTCAAAAAGAGCATTTATACACGTGCTCCGGAGAATAGAGTATGGTCTGAGAAGACCGCTCCGAAAGTAATTATTATTTTTTATAATCGCTTTGCACTGGGGGTCGATGAATTACTTTAAAGTATTATCTATGCCCCGGTGTGAGGTTGAACTCACAAACTGTGCGCAGTACATGAGTACTGATTTATAGAAACCACAGGATCTCTCCGACTATTCAGTTATTAGTGGCTCTACGTTTTTTTGCTACTGGTTCCTATTTGATTACTGTGGGAGACACAATCAACATAAGTAAATCAGCAACCTGTAGGATTGTCCATTGAGTAGCTCCAATTATAGCAGGCTTGAGCCCTGATTACATCAGATTTCCATCAACTCCAGAAGCACAAAGACAAGACTGAGCTGTTTGCCAGACCTGGATTCCCCAGTGCCGTAGGCTGCGTTGATCGTAGACAAGTTCGAATTCAGATAGGAGTATTCATTGAATTTATCCCACATGTAATGAATCCAAAGAGTGAATATTTTATCCCTCCTAGCGTAAATCGTCCACGTATGGGGTGTTATCATTGGAATATATATATATATATAGATATATTTTGATATGCATAGCGCCAAAAAAAGCTGACAAAAAACATTACATGCTTTTTTTTAAAAAGGATCGCTCATAATTTCAATGTACAGAGACTTCAGTACAGCTGTCCATCTTAAGAAATTCAAGTTGAGACTTACGATACTAAATTGACATTCATGGAAGGCTCCAGTTGAGATTTTCAAAATCTTGACTTGAATTTTCCAAGCCTCACCCTGAGACTGACAGGTGCCACCTGTGGTTAGGACTTTCGAAAAGTCATTTTAAAAGATTGAACTTGAGATTTTAGAAATCTCAAAATCCGTTTTTTTTTCGGGTGTTGTAGAAACGTCTGTTATTTCTCATAATTGAAATTGCTGAATGGACTCAACGATCAGCTCATTCGTTAATAATAATGTATATGTTATCTGTTATTGAGAATCTTTCAATTGAAATTGCCGAATTATTTCAATTGAATTTTCGACAGTTCAGAATTTTTTCCATAATTCCCATTTCCCTTTTAGCAAATACAGAATTTTTTTTGCAGGTGGTGAAAACGGTGAGCTGTAGCGCAACCGATATGGCTGGTTCTCTATAAATGTACAAGGGATCTGCAATGCAAGATTGGAGTTCACGAATTTTTTGGCTCGTTGGCCCGGCTCCACACACGACACGGGGGTAGTTCGTCACTCCAGAATTTGTCATTTACTTCATCAAGGGGTGTACAGAGATGCTGTTCTCCTCGGAGATTCTGGTTATCCTGATCTCCCGTTCCTGATGAGACCCCTAAGGAATCCTCAAACAGCTGCTGAGCATCTGTACAATGAAGCTCAAATTCGCACACGCAACTGTATTGAGCGTTGCTTTGGGGTATGGGCCAGAAGGTTTGCGGTGGTGGAGATAGGTTGGCGATTTTGTACTCCTGGGAGAACTGTGGCCGTAATTATTGCTACTGCTGTACTACACAACATTTCTCTATTATTTCGTCATTTCCCCGACGAGAAGCCGATGTGGAGGCATACAATGCAATTCATGCAAACATTGCACTAGGTCACGGCAATACTATGCGACAACAGCTGGTGACCGGATATTTTCAACAGTAAGTTTCTGTTTCTTATGAGGTATTTTAGTTTTACTGAACGATGTTAGGGGAAAATATTGAAAGGGCGTTTTTGGAGATAATCAAATTGTCCACAAAAAAGGTCTTTGACCTTTTCTCCTAAAATCCCTCATTAGTGAATCCTGAATTGTTATTCAGCCTCACTTTAATGTGAAAATGGAATTACTAATGGATTAAAATCCGTAGATTGCAACACCAACAATATAAACATGCATCATAAAATGATTAACAAGTCATCGAGAAAATGTAGATGTAGGTTTACGAAATTATCAGACCCTTCAGCAAGGGATGACCTTCTAGGGCGTGAGGATGACGAGTCAAGCGATCCAATCTAGAATATCTCACTTATCCATATTAATGCAATAACAATTATGATTTTAGATCCTAAAAGTATTTTTTTTTGTAGGCTTATTTGAATACATTGGTCTATGTCTCAAACCAAAGGCGATTGTGGAATAACACTGTGATGAATTAGAAAGTATAAGCATATATTTTTGTAGTAGTCAGGGCTGGCGCCTCAATTAAAATAATTAAATATGTATTTCAATTGTTATTTATTCATTGGAAACGTCTGCTCATCAACCATGAATGCCAACGGACTCCTTTCAATAGCAGGAATTCGAAAAAAGAAACAAGATACAAAAAGCCAAGGTAAGAAGTTTTCATAATGTTAGATGCAGAACACTATCCTCCATTGCGTATTAACTGGCTGTATTTAAATATTATATTGAACACTTCATGAACAGCTTAACATTTCAATCAACATTAGATTATCACACGTCCTGGAATGAAGGTACTTTCATCTCGTAACTGTAATTAAATAGTAAGTATTTGGGAGTCCATAATGCATAACGTACGACTGAGGGAACATACAAAATCTTTTATGCCTCTAGGGACGGAAACCCGCGATTCTAAATCTTATACTATTCTTCCCTTATTTTTAGCCACAGCTCATGAAAAATTACCCCTCGCAATATACATTAACTTCTGCATTTTTATGTCGGAAACTAAATTTTATCACTATCTTACTCTTTACATTGATATTGTAATGTCTACGATAACATACGAAATCTCTTCCGTACAGAATTGCGAACGACTAACGATCACCTTATAACTATAAGCAAACAATTGAATTTTTGTATTACTAATGTTCAACATCAGTAAAGCCTTGACTACGAAATAGTTATGTTAAGTGTATTGAACTTCCTAGAAAAAAGAACAAGAACTTCCTTCGAAAAGACGTTTAGGAATGGTTTCAGTGGGTTTTCAACGTGCTCTTTGTATATAAATAAAAATAAATAGTAATGCATGGATTACACATTGGTACTCATCCATAAAAACTACCTGAACAATAACAAATCATAATAATCACTTCTCCATATTTTTAGGACTCATTACTTTACAGTTAGTTCAAGTCAGACAACTCTCATCGGAAGTAATAATCATATAAGTCACAGCTCAAGAATATTTTGTACTTGGCACCTTTCAATCCCTGTTATTTTTCATTACAAAGAAATTTCGATTATTAATACTTCCATTTTAATAATCTTCATAGTAACTTCTCCGCACAAAGGCTAACATCTAGATACATCTATTTTTCTGTAACATGAAAAACCAGAACTTTTCTTTAATACTTAATACGAAAATCTTACGTTCAGCAATTCTTATTTGGTTTTACTCATTGATTTGTTCATTCCCCCTTTGTTGTTCTTTCCAAATTATTCTTCAAATCCTCCCATTTCAATCTTTTCTTCTCCAATTGCAGCTGTAGCAAATCATTTTTGAGATCCAATCTCTTGAGTTTCAGGCGTTCTTTATGGAGTTTAGTTCTTTTGATGTCAATGTTAATTTTGTTCTCTTCAGAACAGCTCACGGTTTCGTGTTGAAAGTTGATTCCATCATGCGGTGCATCGAGAATGTTTGGAGAAGAGCGAAACTGATTTTGCATGTCGATCCTTTTTTCCAGCTGGAGCTCCGATTCATCCCAAACAAAATTTAAAAAATTAGTAATGGTTTCAATAACTGCACTATAGTTAAGAGAAGTAATGCGTGTCACCTTCCAGGGAGCAGAGTTTTCCGCCACCTTCTTTAGGACGACAAATTCATGTAGCTGCACAAAGTCTGTATCCTCATTAATATCAACAATACCTTTTTTATCATCAACAAAATCTGCTTTCTTAATGTCTTGCTTCAGTCCAGTTGTATCGTTAGGCTTCAGTATTTTCACAGGTTTTTTCAGGTTCTTCACAGACATTTTTGACCAGTCTGGAAGTTGCCCGGAGTCTCGAAGATATCTATGAATAGCCTGATTCCCTTCAATTGGATCCTCCAGTCCATCATCATCGTCACCCACAATGAATAGAGCATCTGAATCATAGGGATTTTTGGGGGGCTCTACCTGACGCCCAATTACCTTTAATATTTTCTCCATGAGCCGGTCGGATTTGAAATTTTTGATGCCACCTCCTAAAATCGATAATAACTATTAGTAACTCCTCATTGTCTATTGAATACGTCCTCAGCTCTAGGGAAGACTATCAAAAGTTTCACTAATCACGAAAAATGTTCGAATTTTTAACTGCAATATAAGAAATTCTGTACACGTACAGAGTGAAGAAGAGTGTCATGAACAGGGTCATACATTTTCTAAAAAATCTATCCAACTTTAATGGATGTGTTATTAATGGACATAGACGTGTCATTTTTTAATGGGCGTGTCATTTTCAGAGGAACTCTACTGAATTCATGTAAGGGTTAAGTAGAAAATAATCATGAAATTTCGATTCCCCTGGGAGTGGAATCGAGCTCAACATTTTCAATTAATACAAGTAATACTTTCAAGTAAGGATTCGTTAAGTCACTTCAACTTGCAATTAAACATGGGCATTGGAGCATTAAATTTTATTGAATTAATATTAAATTACAAACTCAAGAATAACTTTTCATGATTTATATGGATTTCTATGGAAGAAAAATCACAGTTTTCCATAAGTTTTTCAACGAAATTTCGAATTTTCAATACGGAAATTTCCACTGAAATCTGTCATGATCATTTCAGCAGATTTTTTGTCTGCAAAATATACCTGTTTTCACGTTCTCGCTAGACTCTGTTACCACATAACTCTTACCCTTTTTCTTTAAATTGTTCCAACAATTTTTCAACATGTCAAGAGTACGGAGGCGATCTGCATTGACATTATATTCTTCGTGAACACTGTTCCAGGCTTTATCTTTATCTCCTTTTGATGTAGAATGGGTTTGTTTGCATTCAATTATTTCACCAAACTTCTGGATGATAGTGACAAGAGACATCTTTTCATCTTGAGTGAAATTTTGGGCTCGAACTTTGGTGGATTTTCTACAAATATAAAATTATTTTTAAAGTTGAAAAAAATAATGTATGGACACGATGATTCATTGTGAAAAACTTTGAATTAAAACACTTATTTCATCCTTACGTGTCATTGTTAGCCATTGCATATTGGATTTCTTTAACGCCTGTCTTAATGGAACACTAATATTCTATGCTTTGCTTTTTTATTAGACTCAATTAACTAGAAACCAGTAACTGAGGAAATAAACACCGAGTTTTGTTGTCTTAAATCATCCGCCATTTCCCTCTCGATTGATGCCGGTAGGAAAAATCATTCTCCTCACGTAGGTTATGTGGTGGGAGGTCCCAACTTAACTTAACCACGCGTTAAGCATGGTTAACTTGAACCGAAAACTAACCCCTAGAAGTATTAATTTCTCCTGTTTTAAGCCTACTTTTCGGAAATAGCTTTTCGAGAATAGAGTCAGAATAGGGTGAATTGCTCGAATAATATGGAAATAACAAATTTTCATTCACAATTCTAATTTTATTCAGTTATTAAAGTAATATTCATCAGATTCATCAAATTTCCTGTCATTATTCCACGACTCACATTTGGAGCACAGATTTTCAATTTTGCTCTTTCACCGCTTTAATTGATGTAATTCGTTATAAAGCTCAATAGGTATTTTTTATTTTACATTTTGTGTATAAAGAAAAAAACATTGATAATAAAAAAAATTCAACTCATTCAATTTTTTCCAAAGTTTCCGGTAATGTAGTCCAAGTCCCGTAAATTTTACTTTTTGTTGATCGGTGATTTCCAGCACCAATCGAATGTTTATTCCTTGTCAAATGTTTGAAAATTGAATCCCTTTAATTTATGGTCAATAATGAATTATATATAACACAATTTTATTGGTTTCATTGTACGAAATTGCGGAATTGAAACACGAAGGAAACCGCGAAAAAACAATTGGGAACTGTTCGTACCAAGGGATCATTCCCCGACTACTACTATTGATGACTACGATTGATGAAGACTGACTACATCCTCGTTATTACCCAAAATACTTTTCAATACTACTAACTACATAATGGCTGACAATCAACTAATTAACTGTACCCGTAGTGACGACTAACTTTAGGTGCTTTAGTACACTCCTTTTAACTTCGCTTCTTCAATTGTCTTAATCCATGCATGTATGGGAGTTAAGATGTGTTAATAAAGCAGGGGACATGGTACTGGCTTGATGCACCAGGTCCGGACATCTGCGCCTCCTGGTGATAACGCACTGGGCGACAATTCCAAGGATTGTACCTTATCACGTTTACTTTTTCAGGGTACAGAGCACAGCTTTGGTGATCCCATCAATTTTCAAAGTACATTACACCGACAAATATCAAATTCTCCAAAAACTTCAGCAAAGTTTGATGCATTATCTGTAATAGTGGCCGTAATTTTTCTGTCAACTCCAAAATCTTTGTGAATTTGATACAAGGGCTCAGCTATTCAATCATAAATATGGCCACCATAGAATGGCGACATATGATGCTCTTCAACAGACTTCTGGTCAGGACAGTAAAATGTTGGCACTCATTGAGACAATGAAATTAAAAACCTCTTTACAAGCAGTTGACTGCCAGTGAGTTGATATAAAAATAAATTGAATATCGTTGGGGCATTATCAAAGCGGCACAAATTCTAATCTTTCACAATTTTTGGAAATTCTCAAGAATTACCAGTAATTGTGAAAAATTTTCAAGAATTGTCGAATATGATTAACTGTTGACAATAGTTGACAAAAAAAATTGCAAAATTTAACGAGAACTGACAAAAAATAACTACAATTGATAAAATAACCATTTTTTTTAATTCGAAAATTTTCAAGACTCTTTGACATTTTCCAGCAATTTCCATCCATTTTCCAAGTTTCCTTAAGATCTTTTGAAAAGGACGCGAATTCCTAAATTCGATAGTTTTGGGCTCGACAGACATCTTCGACTGATTATTTCAATTTATCTTTCAGATGTTCCCAGTCCTGAATTTTTTCTCATCTATTCGAATGTCTCTACATTTAACGTGACTCGAGTGTAGCTTAATTTATTGAAGAAAACGGGGAACTTTGTCATCACATATGATTTTCACATATGATTTTCAACTACACATCTATTCACTTCGGCTGCGGCTAGGAAAGGGTTTTTTTTTCTCTTCGAACTTATGTCAGTCATAATGCAAATATTCGAACTGGATTGACACATTGTCGGTCAACGCCACAGCGGTTTGAGTATTCAAATAATTAATGTTTTGTGACGAGGTAATATTTTTGGCCCCTGCCCCCTGCCCCCTAATAATTACATTGATCGTTTATAGGTAGAACTAGGGTAAGCGCGGTTAAGTTAGGTTACAAAACCTGTCACCATTGTGTTCCTACTCCCGAAATGTTCCTTCTCCCTACCCTGTTCCCCCTTGCCTCAGTACTCCCATCCGCAGTGGAAGAAGAGCCTCGTTCCCTTGGCATCGGCACTCACCACTGAAGAAATGAAGAAGACGGATGCAAAAGAGAACCCCCCCCCCC